AAAAAAAAAAAAAAAAAAATTGATCGAAACAACATGATCAAAAAAGTTGAATTATTAAATATAAATTAATCAAATTTAAGTTTTGATGATACATTGTGAGATCATGATGTTTCTTTAAATTCTGATTTTATATAGAAAAAAATTAGAATTTGAAATTCCTTTACACGTGACTTGCGTTTATGTTCATGTGTTTGGTTTCCCTTATTTGAGTTTGATCTATATTTATTTTATTATAATCATTATTATCATAATTTGAAACAAATTTTATTTTGTTATGATATGTGTGAAATTTTTGTAATTTTTTCAATTTTATCATATTTTGTTTTTTGAAATATGAAAAAAATTTATAATTTAATTATAATTTATATTTTATTTATTGTTCTAGATGACGGCCCAATATCCTACGGCAGTTTTACAAACAATAACAAATCCTGATGGTACTGTATCAATTATTCAAGTTGATCCTAGTAACCCAATAATTACGTTACCAGATGGTACAACAGCACAAGTTCAAGGTGTTGCTACCGTAAGTATATATTATCGTATATCGTAAATACATTTTGTTCTCTAATTTAAAAAAAAATTGTAAAAATAAATGAATTTTTTACTTAAAGATTCATACAAGTCAAGGGGAAGTTCAAGCACTTGCTGAAGTAGCAGGCAGTGCGGAAGGTACTAGCGTTGCTGTCGACCTAAACAGTGTTACAGAAGCAACATTAGGTCAAGATGGTCAAATCATTCTCACAGGAGAAGACGGACACGGTAAAACAGTTTTCTATAGGCTCTGCACCGTCGCCGGCCAGGAGCTACTTGAACAGTGAATTTTTTACTGGCCCAGGATCCTTTGTTGTTTTGCATGCTGTCTGCTACGCTCCATTCAAGAAAAATACCTACGTGTTCTACTATTTTGTACAACGAAAGTAGAATATCGATTAGTTATTCTTTTTTGGTACTGTACATATGCAATTTCACTCGGAGCTATGCACAGCTTTATTTTAATTTTTTTCTTTAAGAATCCATGATATATGTAACAGATTATTGAAAGAGCAAATCAAAACACACAATAATTATTAATTTTTATAATTAATTCATATTATAAAAATATCATATGGTAAAAAATTAAATCCATAGCATACAAAAATATTGTGTCGTTTTGTATATGTTCATAGACTATTCTTAGACTATTCTCTCTTTGAGATGATAAAATGCAAATTTTTTTAGAAAGAGATCGATAAGATTAAATTTATATGTATATGGCATGTACATATTTTTTTTAGTATATATTTTAAAAAAGAATATATTTGTATATTGAAATATTGCATGTATAATTCATATACCTTTGATAAAAAAATTAAATTTTTTAATATTCTAAAAAGCTATATCATAAACAAATAGAATTTTCAGTTCATGGATTCTTAAGATTTTAAATTTAACGATAAAATAAATGAAAGTATTTCAAGATCAGAAAAAGAACCTGTCCCTGTTTTACAATCACTACTTACCATTATTATCAAAAATTGGTTATTTACTTTAATTAAAACAAAGACAAATAAAACTGCTGTACATAGAGTATTTTTTGTTGATGTTTTTTATTATTTTATAGTTGTTATTTAGCAGCCTTTGTTTAAGCTACTCATTGCTATTTTTTAATTTATTTGAATCAATAAATTATTTTGAATATAAAAATTTGTATTTATATAATTTATATTTATCCAATTTGATTTTATAGAATGGCTTAAACATCTGTTGCTTTTTATTAATGCCTTATTTTTTCTAAAGCATAGATGAAAATTATATGTGCACATTAATGATATTATATGTTAAAAGGGTGTGCCAAAAAAAAAGATAACACTGAATATGGAAGCAAAATATTCATTTTTAACAAATAAATTAAATGTATATAAATTATAGAGTAAGTATATGTACTTTTCTTTAGCACACCCTGTTAATTTAAAAATTTTTTTTATTAGCTTTCTATAAAAAACAACATAATTTCAGTTATTAAATTTTAAGAAAATTTGTGTAGTTTTTTAAACCTAAAATTGTATTGTAAACTGGTAGTATCAATGCACAAATCCGAAAAAATTAATACAAAATTATATTTTTGAAATAAAAATTGTTTTGATTTGAAATTATTATCGATATCGATCATATGGATATATACGGATATGTGCTTTTTAAATTAAATTTTACTTTTTACTTTCCAGTTTGCTATACAAAGAAATGCCTGGTCAGGGGCAGAACACAGGACAGTTGCTTCTTTGTTTCAGGCTATCCTGTTTCCGTCTCAGGAGTAATAACAGTACCAGTATCTGCTAGTATGTATCAAACTATGGTTGCCAATATTCAAAGTGATGGTACAATGCAAGTAGTCACACCAATGGTTCAAGTCCCAAAAGTTGAGCCCGGAAATGGAGAAACTAGCATTGAAGCTGTCACTATTCAAGGGCATCCTATGACAATGATAAACGCTGCAGGTGAACATCAAGTTCTTCAAGTGATATCATTAAAAGATGCTAATGTTCTTACGAAGGCTATGCAAGCCGAAGTTGTAAAAGACGAAGATAGTCAACAACAACAAACCGTCTCTAGTCCAGAATAAAGCGTTTTACATAGTTAATAAAGCTTTTATGTTAACACCAAAATGCGACAGGTGCACATTAGTGGTGTTCATGAGAGAAAGAGTGAGAGTATTAGAAATGATATGTGTTATTAATATTAAGGAAAATGATTGTGTCTTTTCTGAATCATTGTGTAGTGCGTCCTCTTGTTGAGAAACAATAACGAATAGCGAATATGTTTGGAGAGTGAAAATGATTGAATGTTTGATGATTCATGAGACTTGAATGTAATCATATTTGTATTCAAGATTCATTGTAGACACTTAGAAATATCACTTGTAATTCAATTTCTCAAAGATAGTACTAATTTTTAGAAAGTACTGCGTTCGATGAAAAAAAAACCGTTGAATATGCAAGTTTCATCGATATATTTATAATGACAGTATCCGCCGTCTGGATATTTAATATTTCCAATAAGCAAACACGGATACAAATATTTTCGTCTAGTCTTAGTGTCGGGTCTTTAAGAATGATCGATATACCAAAGAAATTAAAATTTGTTTTAAATTATTTATGAAAAAATAATTATTAAAAAATTATGCAATTTAATTATATCAAATTAATAATCTAAAAAGAATTTTTATTGAAGAAATTCGTTAAATTCAGAAATGATAGATAATTTTTTCAAATAAAAAATAAGCCTTTAATTAAAATTTTAAAAATGTTTGTAGAAAAATTTAATATATCTGAAAAATCTTTAAAATTCAATGGAAAATAATCAACATTTTATGACATCAGGATTCTAATGTTTGAGTTAAAATCAAATTTGGCTATTAAATTAAAAAATTGTAATATGTAGCCTATTTTTATGATAAATTAAAATAAAAAACAAGTCATTTTTTGGCGATAGAGACATA